ATCCTAGAGTGGAGATGGTGGTTCTTGAAGCCAGGGAGGTTGAGGTAAGAGGAAGGGCCATCTTCATTCTTCGAGGTGATGATAGGAGAAAGATGTGGACAAGAAGACTGAGTCAGGAGCTGGATTCCTTAATGAATTTTGGAGAATGAGCAGGAAATTGATAATGAGAAAGACAGTGAGAAAGGGTAGAGGCTATTGTAGATGAGTCTTATCCTCAAAGAAGGGATGAATTCTGCATGACTTTGGAAAAGGAGCTATCTGAAGAATGATAGGAAGACCTAGCAGGCCCATCCTGGCTCTTGCTACCCTGTGGGAACAAGGGAGCTGCAGCGAGGACTCCACGAACTAGGTTTCAGCTACTCTTATATGAAGATCAGTCAGCAGATATCCATGAGGTGCTTCATACAGGCACAATTCCAGGCACTTGGGATACAGCAATAAACAAACTGGATAAGACTCCCTGCATTCTTGGAGCTCACATTTATTTTTTAGACAGTATTTGGTAGAATGTAAAGGCCAAGTAGTCACATGAAGGCCTTGATAGTTCCCCAAAGAATATTAATCCAAAGTAGTTTTTGTTCATCGAAAAGTTTTTCACAAGCCAACATTCTTAGGGGAAAGTGCCATTTGGTTTGTTTTTGTTGTTTAATGTTTTCAGATCTCTCTCCAAACCAGACCTTATAAACTCTCCCTTAAAAAAAAAATTAGTCGCCGAAACCAGTTTGGCTCAGTGGATAGAGCGTCGGCCTGCGGACTGAGGGGTCCCGGGTTCGATTCCAATCAAGGGCATGTGCCTGGGTTGCGGGCACATCCCCAGTGGGGGGTGTGCAGGAGGCAGCTGATTGATGTTTCTCTCTCATCGATGTTTCTGGCTCTCTGTCTCTCTCCCTTCCTCTCTGTGGAAAGTCAATAAAATATATTTAAAAAAATTAGTCATGTATTTGAGGGATTTGGATATGTGGACAATAATAAAACCTTACTGATGCTGCAGCCCCTCATTTAATTGTGAGAATAATAACTCTGCCTGCTCAGACATTTGGGTTTTGTGGTTCTAAATCTAAACAATAGATCATTAAAATACAAAAACAATGCAACATGAATCAGGTCACTGGAATTGGAGTTGATGGAGAACCTGTAAATCAAAAAGTCTCTAGAGGATGTGGAGCAGACACTCTTGGGGGAGTTAATGTGAATGGAGGCAAACAATGTCTTCTGCCTGCTGAGTAAGAATGACTTTCCAGAAATTCTTCCAGCAAACGGCTAGCTTTCTTCTTCTATGTTAAAATGCCATGGTATTTCATTGCCCAGAAAGCAAAAGACAGGGAGAAGTTGGTGGAATATTATTAAATGTATTTTAACACGTGACAGTGTGTTACTTAGCTTCCAATTACTAGTAGACTTCAGAGGCTAGGAAGGTTGCCAGCTCATTCATCTGATCATTACTTATCTTGACCAAAGGCCCAGGAGAATATATACTGAAATAATAAAGCTCTCATTAGCATTTAATGCTTTTCCTTAAAGCCCTCATTTTAGTACTGTGAAATCAGGTTTCAGAGAATGTCATAATTAAGATTTCATAAAAAGAAACATTCAATGCTATTTAAATATGTAATGACTCCCAGTGCTATCTGAATTCATTCACATCATAAACCCACTAAAATGGGCTTTAATCTCTATGACCGTGCTACCTTTACTTAACCTTAATATATAACACTATCAAGGCCAATTTATGAGCCACACAAAAATCATTATTATTGGTTTATTATAATCATGCTGTATTATCCAGAAAAGTTAATTTAGTTCATCACCTACCACATTCACCAGACTGGGCTCTGAATAACTGTCACCTCTTTTTAAAAAATCAAATTTTTCCTGGAAAGATGAATTTTTGCCAATTTAAGGATGTTTTAAAGAACGTGCCAGCAACTGAGAACTACTGTAAGAGAGGAGTTCCAGAAGTGTTTTAAGCATGGAAATGTTTTTGGAATAACTATATCTTCCAAGGTGACTACTTTGAAGGGAAGGGACTTGGATGGACAAGCTTTGATAGATTTACTTGTAAGATTGGTCAGATTACTTTGTAGTCACAAATCATATTGAGTTTTGACTAGATTAGCTCATTTGGCAAATCAGGTATGACATTTATGTTTTTATAGAAAAATAGTTCTATCCTGAAGGAAAATGACTTGGCAAACCTTTGTGACTTGTGTGCATCTGCTCTCAGGAATCATCCCAAGGAACCTGCTCTTTCTGAGGTCTTTTGGATTAGTTTTGAACTCCCATCCACATCCTAGCAGGACATTTGCTTCCATCCAAAATATCCATAGGAACATTTGGTCCCTGCCAGAAGATCCTTGATACTTGGTCCTGTACCAGACATCCATGGAGACATGTGGTTCACACCGACCTATCTTTTACCCCCATGAGCTATATATGACCAGGTCGGCTACTGAAGCAATAAGGGTTATTGGCAATATAGCCTCTACACAATGAATGATTGGGCCAATGAAACATGATAGTATTTATTATGTATTAATCTTTTAAATAAACCAAAAGTATGAACAAACATTATGGGCTGTTTGAACTCAGGGACATTTTCTAAATATGTATGTTTTTGACTGGACCAAAACAAGGACCATTGGACATGGACCAATATGCTCATGGACATTTTTTAATCCTCACCTGAGGAGTGAGGATATTTTTTCCATTGATTTTTTTAGAGAGTAGAGGAAGGGAGAGAGGGAAACCTGTGTGAGAGAGACACATTGATTGGTTGCTTCCCACACACATCCCCGACCTGGGATGGGGATCAACCCTGGAACCCAGGGACGTGCCCTTGGCAGAGAATCCAACTCTTGACCCTGGTGAATCAGACTCTGACTTACAAATCCACATAAAGAAGTTAAATATTGGTACTTAAGACAAATAACTTATACTATTATTAGAGTAATGTAGCAATTGCAAAAGAAGAATAAAGTACGTTAACATGTTACTAGCAGTTTTACCAAGGTGACAGGACTGTGTGGGATTGTTTTTTCCTGCTGTTCTTCCCAGATTGGGGCATTACATTTATCTTACTTGTGTAATGAATAAAATAGTTTTAAGGAAGACATTCCCGATAATGACATGCTAGAGCAGTTGATTGGATTTAAATCAAACACCATAACTGATACTTATTAAATGTTTATTGACTAGATAAGATAGCTTTAAAAAAATAATGACTGCAATTTCATTTTAGGTTATTTTTTCTGTTATGAATTCTACTTAGAGAACTAAAGATACATGAATAGTTATATTAATAATTATGAGAAAACTAACCTGTAAAAATCTTAAACACTTTGAGTGGATTTGACATCTCAAATATTTATTAAGCAGCTATTTTATGCAAGGCATTGTGGGAGTGGAAGGATGAGTGAACTCCAAGGACTCAGGGTCAGGCAAGAGAGGTAAGAACCCACATAATCATAAGCTAGATAGTTGATTCTAAGGGTTGTGAGATATAAAATGCTGTGAGAGTTCAGAGAGGTAAGGAATCATCTCTAAAAGAGGAGGAGCCAAGGAAAGCTTCATGCAAGCAGGCAAATTTGGGCTTGGATTTTTCATACTCGGAGGTTAAAGGGAAGGTGAATAGAGGCATAGAGGCACCAAGACCAGGCATGTCAGGAAGAATAAGGAGTCCAATTTAGCTGGAGTGTATGTAGGTGAGGGGACAACTAAGACTGGCCAGGGCGTGTGGACTTGAATGTCAGGCCACAAAGTCAAAGCTTGTAGATGATAGGTGATTTGGGGGGCTTTTGAGCAAGAAAAGTGGTATCAGTGTTGGCTTAGTACAATTTTTCTGGCCAGGATGAATGTCAGGGGACAATGGGGGAAGATAAGGGTGGGAAGATGAACCGCAGATGAGTGAAAATAAGGCCAGAGCTTGACAAGTGGCATCTTAAAGGAAACAGGTGTGATATTTTGTAAAAAAATAGATTCAGTAGATCAGGGCCTAGGATTCAGTGAGACTAGATTTCAAGTCCCACTTTGTCTCCTAGTAGTTGTGTGACTCTGAAGACATTATTTAGCTCCCCTGAGCCTGTCTCTTCTGCAAAGTGGGCATAAGAGCACTTAGTGTCATGAGGTTGCTGCAGGGCAAGCAATTATTCTTGTAAAGTATTTAGCATGGACCTGGTACATGGTCAATGCTTAGTGCATGTTAATGTCACAGATGGTTCTACATGAAATTGGAGTTAGGAAGGAAACAGGTGTCAGCCAGGTGACAATAATAAGGGAGGCAATACAGCAGCTAGGAGCCTGGCATCTGGAGGTAAAGACTGGACTTATATCTCAGCTCTACTACTTAACAGCTGGGTTCTTGTACAAGTTACTTAACTCCTGTTTATGTCAGCTTCCTTAGCTGTAAAACAGGCATGGTATTAGTACCTCCCCATGGAGCTTCTATGAGAATAAAGTGAGAGAATCCATGTAAAGTGTGTATGTACCTGATACATTTTAAGAGTACAGTTAAGGTGAGGGGTGGGGATGCGGAGATGAATAGATTTGCCTTTTCCATCTGCAGTGGCAGTTATGCAAGTAGAGATGGAAACAGGCAGAAGGGGATTGGCTATAAAGTACGGGTGGGGGCAGAACACTCAAGGTTGGAAGTATTTGGGAGTCATTGGCACGGAGGTGATTATTGCAGCTCTTACAGGTAGATAAGCTAAGAATGAGTGCAGAAATTGGCTTAAGGAAACAATTAGACAAAACCAGGTATAGGACATTCTATAAGACAGATGGCTGGGATTCTTAATAAAAAAAAAGTATCGTCATGGAGAAAAAATAAGGGGGATGTCCTAGGCTAAAAGATTATGGGTTATAATCAAAAGTAATATATTAATTTTGATCCCTGTTTAAAAGATAAAAAGACATTCTTGGGACAATTGGGGAATTTTTGATTAAGGACTATATTAGAGGCTATTAGGAAATCGTTTATATTCTTAGGTATAATTGCACTGTAATCATGTAGAATAATGTCTTTATTCTTAGGAGATACATACTGAAATACTTAGGGATAAAATATCACATATGTATGGGGTGGAGGGAAGGAAAAGTGAATATGGTAAAATGTTAACAATTGTTCAGTCTAGGTGGAGGGTATTCATTGTACTAGTTTTTTAACTTTTTCTGGATGTTTGAAATTTTTGTCTATAAAAAATTGAGAAAAAATAGAACTAAGAAAAATTGTTTGGGAACTAGTCTATATCAGGAAAAGGAATTCTCTGGAGGAAAAGCAAGGTCCCCCTACCAAAGGAAGAATTTCAAGAAGGGAGAGATTAAGCAAAATGAAGGTTGAATAAATAATCACATTCAGCCACTGAGATTGTGGTGGCTTCTTAAGAGTCCAGTGTAGCATGGAAAGCTGACCATGGGAAGTATGGGCAGCAAGGACTACTTGACCCTCCTTGGATGGTGGTTCAGTTGAGAGCTTCCCCGCTGGGGGAGTCTTGCTTTTTAGTACAAGGGAAAGTGGGCATTTCTGAGGAAGTGTGGGGAAAGGGAGGGAATAAGAGGAAAAGAAGGACACTAATGGAGCAAAGAGCCAGTGAAGGTGGAAAAGGAATAGATGTAAACACGAGAGGAGGTTGCCTCAGGTGGGAGGGATGTGCCCTTCATAGCAGTGAAGGATGAGGTCATGTTTTGCTAGTAAGGAGGCAGGTGTGAGGCAGAAAGTGGGGACATTGACTACAGCTGCCACTGGATCTGAAATGGGAAAGGTGGTGGCTGAGGTGAAACAGACGAAGGTGCACATGATATTGTGTAATCTGGGGAAAAGAGTAAACAGGGGTTCTTAGGATTGTACTGCTGCGGCCTGAGATGATAAGGGTAGAGCAGTCGTGGAAACAAGTGGCCCCTTTTTCAGAACTTGGTGTTGGGCAAAGGCTGCTCATCAAAGATTTACTCATTAGAAAATGGGTAAACTTTTTTTTTTTAATTTTGCTTTACCCTTATTTTCATGGATTGTCCAGGCTGGTGTACAGGCACATGGTGTGGTGGTCTTTGGTGGGTAAGGACGCTTCTGTCCTTTCAGAGTCACCAGGTACAAGCCCTCAGATGACTTAGATTCGAGGGGCTGCTGGAGCTCTCATTTCCAAAGGCATTTGGAGGAAAACTGCTCTCTGCACGGACGCCAACTAAACGCCAACAGCAAAGCGGGCTGCTGGAGCTCCCAGGCTCCCTAGGTGGCCGCAGGGTCGGAATGACTGCGTTCTGCTCAGGCTTCCGAAGCGCTTTTCAAGCCCCTCCATTGGAGATTCCAACTCCCCCGCAGGCCGCGGGCCTGAGACTCCGCTCCCAGGTGAGGCTGAAGGCGCTGGGCCCGCGGGCCACACTTGGAGTAGCGCCGGCGTGGGGATGGGGAAGCGGCCAAAACCTACCAGGTGGGACTTGAGTGACAATGTAGCCGTCCCTCTTTCCCCTCGGGCTCTTCTTTGAGCGGGGTCTGCAGCGGGGCCGCGACCAAGGCGCCTTCGCGACGGCTCACTTCTCGCAGCCGCGCCTGCAGCGCCTCCCTCTCAGCTTGCAGCTCCCGCCGCGCCTGGGCCGCCGCG